TTGATAGGCCTGCTTAGCCACATAATGCGGCTGGGATTGTCTCTCGTTAGCGGCCTTGTCGTCCGTTTGGATGACCAAGTTCGCTTAATCCAGAATGGCCTGGAATGTGGTATAGTCGTACTCATTACCGAATGCCGACCGCAATCCCGCGCACGATCGCGAGAAGAACTCGGATCGTTGATTTGGAAAGCTCAAATCGAATCCTGGCGTGGTCACTATCTTTTGCCACTTCGTTGTCCAGTCTCGAGTTGGCATGTTCCCCTGAGAGCATGTGTACACCTCATTCATGGCCGCCTTCACGACGTTGCGGACCATGAACCGGGTGAACCATAGCTGCTCGAACTCCTTCCACGTGATGTGCGTGTGGAGTTCGGCGATGGTGCACTTGTGGGTGGCCGCCAGGTGGTTCATCCATGCCTGCGCTCCTCCAATCTGTTGCAAATAGAGTGCCTTCAACATGTCGTTCGCTGGGATAGTGCGGCATGACGCTTCCGTGAGGAAACGTTGCCACCATGTCAAAGCGTCCGACTTGTTGTAGTCGTCGAACTTGCAGATGTCGAAGTGCGGCATCTTGAACGTCTTTGCAGCGGCGTCCGGTCTCGTCTGTAGCTTGGTGATGTCCGTCTTGATGGCGGCCACCGTGCTGCTGATCGTGCCTTGTCCGTTGAAAACACCTATGTCGCCGATGATGGTGACGACAAGATCGATGCGTTCATTGATTTGCTTTGTCGCGTTCGTCGTGCAGCCTGGCGTTGCTGAGGCCTTGGCCTCAATGCCGTTGATGCGTGCGATGGTAGAGTTCACCAGCTGTTGCTGTTGCTGCTGCTGCACTTCTGCGTCGCGGACGTCGGCGGTTACAGCGGCCAGGTCTTGCTGGTACTGCTGTCTTTGCTGACGATCCGCGTGCAGGTGTGCCTGCAGTAGTTTATTGTTCCATATTACTCCCCTCATTATGTTCAACATCACGGTAGCCAGGTTACTTTTCTCTGCCTCCGCCTGTGTTGGTTCCGCCTGCGTTTCCGTTGGCACAAAGATCATGTCTTGGAGTAACGTTGTCCACTGATGCTCACTAGCAATCAGGGACTCCGTGCTGGCGGCATTCCGTCTGTTTCGTGCCACTTCGTCAGTCTCAGCTGTCCGCTGAGCTTTGGCTGTCGCTTTGTTGGCCAGCCGCTGACGTTCTGCCTCTGCCGCAGTCTGCTGAGCCTCGGCGGCGGCTACGCCGTCTGTAAATGCCTGTCGCCGCCCACGATAGTCAGCCCAAGACTCGCTGGCCTCTCGGACCGGGCATGCGGGAAAATCTCCGGTGGTGTCTTGTACTATCAATGCTGTACTTGATGCCGCTGGAGTCGTCCGTCTGCTGAATCTCTTGGGTCTTGGAGGTACCGCAGGGCGGGCATGAACTGCGATCCTGGCACTGCGCCGTGGCAGTGCCCCGGTGTCCTGTTCCATCGACATCAGTCTGAACTGATGTGGTACTTGAGAGGTGCGGGTTTTCACAGACTACAGGGGGGTAGGTAGAGTGGGAACAGGTGTAGAACAATCAAGCAATATACATACAATCCCTTGTCCTGCTGATGGGCTGTAGACACCTAATCAAACAGGGAAAAATAAATTTCCCGTAAACCCTTGAAAAATTCGTAATAAGGAATTAATAACGATTTAATCAATAAAATTAATTAATGATAATTAACGAAATAAATCCGTATGATAATCAGTAAAACAATGTTTGTAATAAAGATAACCAATTAATAAACGAATTTGACAGGTATTATGATTAGGTCTCTTTGAGATCCCTTTGAGTTCGGGAGTTCACCGTTAWTGAGTGAACTACCCGGAAGTTGCAGTTTGAGGGTCAGATACGGCTTAGTGTGCTAAAAAAAAATTCGGAAAATTTCAGAAGAAAAAC